GTGGGGGGCCGCTTCTACCCGCCGGATTGGCAAGGGGCAGACGGCCACGCCCAGCGCCAAGGGGGAGCAGCGCTCCAGGTACGGCCATGCCCCGCCCCATTTCCCCACACCACATTCGGGCCCCGGCCTCGCCCGGCGCCTGCAGGACTCACTGCACGGAGATCTTCTCGTCGGCATCAGCTATGAACATGCTGCCCACCTGTGGGAGGAAGCGGCAGTGCACGGCTTAGGAAGGGGCCTGGGAGAACGCCCAGCGCCAAGGGGGAGCAGCGCTCCAGGTACGGCCATGCCCCGCCCCATTTCCCCACACCACATTCGGGCCCCGGCCTCGCCCGGCGCCTGCAGGACTCACTGCACGGAGATCTTCTCGTCGGCATCAGCTATGAACATGCTGCCCACCTGTGGGAGGAAGCGGCAGTGCACGGCTTAGGAAGGGGCCTGGGAGAAGCTGCTGCAGAGCCTTGCAGGCCCGGGGCTGGACCAGCGCTTCACCGGGTGCACGTGGCCCCGCGGTCCTGTCGCGCCGCGCTTTGGGCCAGGCCACTTCTGCAGAAAAGCCGCCTTCTTCCAGGAAAGACAGAGCCCTGCACTGCTTTTCAGCAGGCAGCTCGGGAAAGCAGTTCTGATCCTCAACCAAATCGCGCCAAGGCCGCAGCCAGGACAAGGGCCCTCGGCAGCCGGGACGTGCTCCCGGCAAAGCGCAGCCTCTGATCGGGAGCTCTGTCCGCATCCCTGCGCCCCAGCTCGCCAGAGCTCCCGGAAGTTACGGCAAAGGCACCCGCTGAATTCAGAGGACCGCAGCAAGGCCTTAGAGTCCCACCCACTGGAGAACGCCCCGCCTCACTCACCATGTTGGTTAAAGCAGAGAAGAAACCACTCTGGTGCTCCTCTTCCTTATCTTTGTACTGTCTGAATGCAAGGGACAGCAAAAGCCAGCTGTTAGAACAGAGGAGACTAAGGGGGGATAGGATACAGGTCTATAAAATCATGACTGGTGTGGAAAAAGTGAATAAGGAAAAGTGATTTACTTGTTCCCACAATATAAGAACCAGGGGTCACCAAACGAAATGAACAGGCAGCAGGTTTAAAACAAAGAAAAGGGAGATTTTCTTCACACAGCGCTCAGTCAACCTGTGGAACTCCTCGCCAGAGGATGCGGTGAAGGCTAGAACTTTAACAGGGTTCAAAAAAGAGCTGGATAGATTCATGGAGGTTGGTCCATCAATGGCTGTTAGCCAGGCTGGGTAGGAATGGTGACCCTGGCCTCTATTTCTCCACCGGGAGAAACCTGGCATTGGCCACTGTGCCCAGAGAGGACACTGGGCTAGATGGACCTTTGGTCTGATCCCGTCTGGCCGCTCTGATGGGCGTTAGGCCTGGAAACTGGGCTATTCTATCCAAGTGCCCTCGCAGCACACGGGCGCGAGCATCAGCAGCCCTGCGGGCGTGCGGAAAAGCTTGTGCGAGGTGCCAGGGGAGTCGGAATGCCCGGTGGGCATGGCCAGCCTATCAAGGCAGGCAGCGGCCGTGTCACCAGGCGGCTCCCGGTCATCTCGAAAGCTGCTCTCTTAGTCCATAGCACGCACGCGAGGGGTGCTCAGTATCGGTTAACTGAATAGTCGAGTAACCTCCTGAATTCTTATCGGTTAGTCGACTAGTCTATAGCCCCGGGGGCGGGGCCAGCGCGCTCCAGCCCCGCCCCCAAGGAGCCCTCTGCCGCTGTATCGGAGGCAGCAGCAGGGGGCGCCAGGCGGGAGCTGGTCTGCGAGGGGGGTCAGTTTAAAAACCAGCTTCCCTCGCGGACCGGCTGCCTGTCGCCCTGCACTGCTGCCTCGGGTACAGAGGCAGCAGCACAGGGGGGCAGCAGCCCCTGGCTAGGGGGGGCTG